AATCTCAATGTATGAATGCAGTTGATCATGTGGATTTGATGAACACATATTGAGTCTAATTTAGTGAACGGATAAAAAGAAAAAATGCAAAAAATAGTGGATTGAGTGAATCATTGGGATTATTATTGTTGATACAATCAACAACAACAATAACATACAAGCATTTTTTCTAAAATAGTTTGGTGCCAGCTAACATAAATTGGAACATCCTATCAAAGTTTAAAACTGAGATATCAATCTTCCAATCTTATACTCTTAATCCACATCACTAATTCTAAAGTCACTCTCTCTCATCTAATAAAAAAACTATCACATCATTGTAGCAATTAGAAAATAGAAATTAATAAGTTAGTTCATTTGGTCATTCACAAATCAATAATTCATCATATTAGCAAATCATTATAAAAGCTAGCTATATTTTTTGGGAAATAAACATAACAAATTTGAGAGTTCGGATTTGTACTTTACTACTTGATTGATAATTCTGCTATTCCACCCGTTTTGTTACTTCTATAGCATACGGTTTAAGCCAAACAACTAGTGTAACCTCTATTTTTTAATACATACTCCGTATATATAATATAAATGTATTGAAATTTTTGGCCCTCTAATTTTTTATTTTTTGGGGGCATTGAGGCCCAAGCTTCATTGGTCTAAAGAAAGGCACAACCTTGCCACACACTCAAACATAATTAATTTATTTTATATAATGTAAAAATGGATTTATGTATGTGTGTTGCGAAAAACCAAGACCTTCCTGCTTCGTGAAGTTAATATAGACACTTAGAAGTTAAGGTGGTAATGAGAGAACACAATTTAAATTCTCTATTTTGGAGATTCTTCCACTATACAGAAGAATACAATGATTTACAAGGATGTTTTTACAAAACTGGACCACTATATGGTGGCTCACTCAAGCTTGGGGATAAAAACTTCCCAAGCTATCTTTATTCTCTCTCAAAGAGGCTATCTAACTTTCTCACTCTAAGAAGTTGATTCTCTTTTTGCTAGGATAGATAAGAATGAAGTCTCATATCTCTATTTATACAACTCCACCTTCACAATGAATAGTGGGGATGATTTGTATCCAAGGGTGGAGATTGATTCTCTAGACTGCTTCACACACTCTAGCAGCCTCTATAATATTATATTCGGGAAAACTGTCAAATAGGTCCTCGAACTTTCTTAAAAAGGTCAATTAAGTCCTTCTATAGCAGGTTTTGTCCGGCCGTCGCGATTTGGGGCAGTTCCCGGTGGATTTTTTTGATGAATTTTTTTGAGCATCTTATTCACCAAGTGTAGTTTACTCATACTAAATTTCAGCTAAAAATTCAATCGGGAACACATTCAAATTAATTCTTGAAGATAACTGCGCATTTTTGCGTTCTTGAATTAATTTGAATGCGCTCCCGATTAAATTGTTAGCTTAAATTTGGTATGAGTAAACTAGACTTGATGAATAAGATGCTAAAAAAATTTCATCAAAAAATTCCACCGGGAACCGCCCCAAATCGCGACAACCGGACAAAGTCTCCTATAGAAGGACTTAATTGACTTTTTTATGAAAGTTCGAGGACCTATTTGACAGTTTTCCCTATTATATTCCCTTCCATATCCTTCCATACTCTTCTATAAGCTTCAGGAATGTTCCCCACATCACCAGAACATTCCAGAGGATTTCACACTATTCTACAAACTTCTAGATAGTTCTAGACTTCTCTAGAATTCTTTGGAATGTTCTGGAAAATTCTATACATCTCTAGAAAATTCTAGAACTTTCTAAAAATTTTCCTTAATATGTTTACTTATATTTTTACTACTATTTTCTTCAAAGCTTAATAACATCAAATAATATTGAAATCGGCCGCATTAATTGTTATCATACATAATATTATATAATACTCCCTCCGGTTCTTTTTAAACTTCAGTGTTTGACTTCACAGTTATTAAGGAAATAAAGTTGACTTTACTGTAGAGTACACTGTTGAGACACTGTTTGGCACTGTTGAGACACTGTTTGGCACTGTTGAGACACTGTTTGGCACTGTTTAGCACTGTTTAACACTGTTTTGATGTAGATTTCTTTGCCAAATAAGGAAATAAGGAAGTGTGAAGTTTATTTTGGACCGTCCCGAAAAGGAAAGTGTGAAGTTTATTTAGAACCGGAGGGAGTATAATTTAATTCTTTTAAAGCTAATGATTTATATTCATATGTGTGTAGACAGTTGAAAAATGTGCAAATAAGACAAGTAAATTAACCAAGGACGGTACTTGCAGTGGCCAATGGGGCAGGCTGGGGTGGGACAAAAAAAGGGCCAAGGAGTAACGGGGGACGTGGCGGGGATCATTAAATTATCTAGAAATGGGATGATGGTTGAGGGAGTCAACCCCCTCTCAAAACCCGCTAATTGTCACCCCTGATCATGATCACATGCGATTTTAATTTACTATGTTCGTAAATTGACATAATCTCAGTGTCGATTCTTCTCATTAAAGAACATAAGCCTGATTTTTTGTAATCGCGTCAACAAAGACAACTAATGATAGTTGACCAACATGGCTTCAATCTATTATTGAAGTAATGGTTTGAAAACGCATACCCACATGTTTTTTCCCATTTGAAATTGTGTTGTACTACTCACGTTCTCTCGTCTAAGACATGAGGAAGTAACACACATATAAAGTATAATGTACCTGTGTAGTTGGTATCAAATCTCAATGTATGAATGCATTTGATCATGTGGATTTGATGAACACATATTGAGTCTAACTTAGTGAACGAATAAAACGAAAAAATGCAAAAAAAAAATAGTGAATTGAGTGAATCATTGGGATTATTATTGTTGATACAATCAACAACAACAATAACATACAAGCATTTTTTTTTCTAAAATAGTTTGGTGTCAGCTAACATAAATTGGAACATCTAATCATAGTTTTAAAAAAATAGATAAAAAAGAGATATCAATCTTCCAATCTTATACTCTTGATCCACATCACTAATTCTAAAGTCACATTCTCTCATCTAATAAAAAAAACTATCATATCATTGTAACCACTCCAATTCATGTTTGCCACTGTTTATATGTTGTGTTATTTCGGAAAAATTTGAAATTTTATTTTAAGATAAAAAATACTACATTATTAAGAGATAGTGAAGTAGGTACTTCATTCATTCTTTTTTATTTGCAACATTTTCATTTTCACAATTGATGCCAACACACATCTTTGACAGTCATTATATTTAATTCTCTATTATAAAAAATATTTAAAAATCAACTTATGAAAATTTGTATTGAGATTGAAATCAACAAAATTGTTCGAAACAATATAATTATCATACTTTAATAAATAAAATATTATCAAACTAGAATATGTGAATAATATAATGTACAATTTTGCATGTTACAACTAAAAAGAAAGAGAGTATAGTACTAATGCAGACATTTGTTATTTATATTTTGATAATCTAGCATCCATTGTGATTTTTGAATTTTTATAATGGAATTCTATTGGGTGACTCAATATAAGTAGTAAGCAAAACATATGAATATATGGATATTACATGTAAAAGCATTTTCACATATCAATTTAATATGTATATGAAATATATATAATACATAAAATCACCTTTACTCTTATATTATTTTTAGTGTAAATTACTATTGTCCTCTTGATGTCAGATCAAAATCAATAGTTGAACCTATATTATTAAAACCACTTATTTATTCCTTGAGTTTCGCCCCACTCTTTATAACATTAATGTCATTTGCCTCATATAATTGTGAAATTTAACAATTTCACATTTATATTTTATATTGAAAAAGTGTTGTGAAATTTAATGAAAGTTTCTAAAATGTATGTTTTTCAAAGTCAAGATAACCCATAATCATGATTATAAGTCATTTTATTGCTCAGAATGACTTATTTGCTACTCGGTGAAAGAATGTTATTGAAATTAATTGAACCGGATGAATTACAAATAAAATTTTATATCCGCAATTATAAAATGTTTAGAAAATTTAGAATGCATATTTTGAACAACCATGTTTGATTTATCTCATTAGTAGTTACTTGTGATTTTTTTTTGTTGGAGCTACTCCCATTAATCAGTGATAGTTTTTTTTCAGGGATAGCTAAGTAGATAAAACATAGATTAACAATTATGATTTGCAATTATGATGATTGATTGATTCTACTTACAAAAATGGATGTTATTAATCATTTCCAAAGAATTTGAGAGTAATACATATGCCGAGGGCGTAGCTCACCTAATAAGAAGAAGGTGCCACAAAGGGGAGATCACAGATTCAACTTCAAGCAATAATTTGGGATGTAACTCCATTCTCTTTTTATTAGAGTGTGATCAAACCTCAATTTACATCCTCGAAACAATTGTCCGACCGATTTTGGGATCCTTAAGAATGGAGTGTCATCCTATTTTGAGAATAACACATACTAGAGACGCAAACTTTGAGAACAATATAACTTCAGACGATACTAATTGATTTTTACTCTAAAAAGTAATTACTATTTTTGAAAATGCTAAATGACATCAGTAATTATGACATAACTATTAGTGTTCCCATTCTTTTTATAATTGGAAAATCATTCAAGCCTTCCAAACATCAAGATCTTACTATGTTTGTATAAACATCGACTATTACTTTTTATACATAAAAGGGAGATAATCATATTAGTAATGCCGTAATGGTGTTTAAATTGAATTGATGGCCTTGTACCCAAAAAGGAATTGTTTTTACTTTTATTTTCTCTAATTATTATGAGATAAAAAAAAGACATTGGACAAATAGTATATGGATGCAATGCATATTTTCAAAAAAAAAAATATGGATGCAATGCATAAACCGATCTAGGGAAATAATGGAAAATATAAGGATCAACATGCAATTAGGCCCTAAGGATTCCAACTAGTTTGAACAAATCAATCCCGCTCTCACGCTCCCCCTCTGCCCATCTCTCCCACCCCACCCCACCCCACCCCACCCCCACCCAGCTGCGCAGCTCTATATGAATGGCGGACCCGTCGGATGTGACAGTCTCGCTCTCACTAGCTTACTCACACTATCAGCGTCTGCCTCCATGGGAGCGGTGCTTTATCTCCTCTCTGGACTGTCCGCCATTGATATTCATCTCTGGGCATGAGCTGACAGCGCGGAGTAAGCTCACCTGACGTTTTCTGATAACAGTTCTATTAATCAATTAATTAGAAAGAAGCAAATGCCATGAAATTTCCTTCTCTTCCCTGAAAGTTTGCGTCTGGTTTAGTTGAATAAGCTTTTCTGAAAATGTGTGATTTTTTGGCTGAGATCTCAATTCTCATTGTTCCATATATGCATGCCCGAATAAATCAATATCCTACTCTAGTTGATCTGTAGTGTTTTAATTCTTATATAAGGTTTGTTGTAACAGGGTTTCAGATCTGACAAGACTCACACTTGTTTGGTGGAATCATCAACCAATGAGGCATGCAAATATGCAAAATGTTGGTGGGCAGTCGATGCGAATCACACGCTCTAGGGCTATAACATTTGCCTCTTCTGATGGACTGCCCCCTTTACATCCTTCAGGCACAGAGAATGGGAAACAGATTCAGAGAGCAAGCTGCAAAAGAGCAGCATCAGATGAAAACATTCCAACAAGTGGTGCCCCTTCTTATGTTCAACAGAAGAAAAGAGCTGTTCTTAGAAATGTCACTAACGTAGTCTGTGAGAGTTCGTACTTGAATTGTATGCCTGGAACTAAAGTCCAGGTGCCTTTTCTTTTGGCAGTAAAATCTTCTTCGTACTGAGTTTCAAATTTCTGTACTTTTATAAAATTAATAGTTCCTTTAGAGAGTCGTATGTGGTTGAGAATTAGTTTGATGGTGACAGGATAAAAAAATTCCGGACAAGAAAAATGCAAAGGTGATACCTGCTGTACTAGGTAAAAAAAGGCCACATGTTACGGATGAAATGCAGGAAAGTATCACTGAAGAACCAAACAAATTGAAGGTCGAGAAATCAGAACGTAGCTCATACACAAACTGTAAGAAGAATGCATCAGCGCAGCAAAGCAATCGTGCCACTATAGGACAAAGCAGGGCATGTGGTGTTATGCAACTAGTGAAGTGTAACTCTACAACTGTCCCGCAGCCGACTACACCACAAATTGGTAAGACATTTTATTAACATTCAAAATATGCAACACATAAATATTGTTGTTCTTTTCGATGCATTCTGTGTTAGGATTCTTGGCGTCTTTAGTAGATTTAACAGATCTATTAAGCCACCTATTTCAATGTGGCAGTCTGCTCATGGATTTTTAGCTATTTGCAATCGATTAGTAATGTCCGGTGTTTAGAGCATCTGTCTGGTCTCATATACGCTTCAATAATTGCTAATTCTGTTCAAGTTACTTGTTGCAGATGATGGCAAAATTTGCCCAAAGATAAATGACTTGGCCAGTCTGGGAATTACAGATATAGATACAAATCACATGGATCCACAAATGTGCACTCTGTATGCTGCAGATATATATGCAAATCTACATGCTAATGAGGTCTGTATAAGCTTCATTGCTGATCTTAGTTATACCAGTAGTCTTTAAACATTGATGTATTATGAACACCACATCTTGGAATATAATTTCATTCTAACTTTTCTATTGCCCTACCCCACCTGCCTGGCTGCTTTCGTCAGCTTGACCGGAGACCATCTGTTGATTACATGGAAAAGCTTCAGCGAGACATTACTGAAGGTATGCGGGGCATTCTGATCGATTGGCTTGTGGAGGTAAGTTGTACCTTTTGATGTTGCTATTTGCTACACATCCTCATGATGTCTTCACATTGATATTTGCTGCATGACCCCTTCTCTACTTAAATACAGTATTATTGATAGAGTAATGAACCATGTGCTCGTACATCGTTGTTTAGTTGGCCTTTTTTAAATCCAAGGTCATTTCAAAAGGCTCAATGTCAGCATAGGGATACATAGTAATAAACTATGTGCTAGTATATCATTCTTTAGTTGGCTTTTTGAAATCCAAGGTTATTTCAAAAGGCTCAATGTCAGTATAGGGCTATTGGTGCCCACTATTTTTATCAGATAATAGTTCTTTTATTTCTTTTATCTACGTTTAATCGTTTATGTTGATTCGTATTTGTATTAACTTTCAGGTTTCTGAAGAATACAAGCTGGTTCCAGACACCCTTTATTTGACAGTGAATCTTATAGATCGGTTTCTCTCAGAAAACTACATTGAGAAACGAAAACTGCAACTGCTTGGCGTTACATGCATGCTAATTGCTTCGTAAGTTCTTCATGTTGTTTGCAACTGTCTGCACATTAAGAGAAAATTTCATTCCCTGCCTCCCTGGCTATTCCTCTTGAGTTCAGCTATGTAAAGGAAAAAATGTTGCAGATGATTAGGCACGAATATGAATGGGTTGCCCTACAATTGGATTTTAGGTAGAAAAGTTCTATAGAAACTCATCTGGGGTTTTGAAATGATGGAGCTAAGGCTATCACTTTACAAAAGTCGCTCTCTTTCAGAATTAGCTTCATAATTAGTTAAAGTTCTTACTTTTCTGTTAGATGCTGATGGCTGAATATGTTAAATATAGAAGTATCAAACCTAGTCTTGCTGTAATAGTCTTACTACAACACGAGTCTAGAGTAGAGTATGTACTCTTAGTCCTTTTTTATGTATAGGAATATTTTGTACTCTATTTTTTTATTAAAAGAAAAATGGATATTTTGGGACTAAGGTGTTAAAATACTGAAAATGATGATAATGAAAAATAAAAATGGATATACAACCAAAGCTTTCAACTATCACAAAATAAAATGTTGAATTTGTGTTTGTACTTCTTTAACATATCTTTATGTATGTCAATGTTACTCCGTATTATACATAACACATCATACATGGATTAGAATAAAACCATCCTAGTGGGTTCATATGCAATAATGCGATGACCATCACTGTCTGTTGCAGCATTGAGAGCCTGCATCATTTTTGCAGTATTTTCTGTATCACTAACATTTCCCTCCCCTACTCATTTGTCTTTTAGAAAATATGAAGAAATTTGTGCACCACGTGTCGAAGAATTTTGTTGCATTACAGACAATACATACTCGAGAGAAGAGGTATACTCCTAAAATCTATTTTGGATGATAAATGTGGATAATATGTACAGTTTATTGTTATCATTCAAGTCTAGAATCTTTTATTATTTCCTCTTGATTTATTTCCAGAAAATGGTTGTAAGCATAAAGCATAATGGTGGTATAATCCATGCATCAAAAGAATGTTCAATGAAACTTTGTATTCCATCTTAAGACTTGTGTCATGTCCAAAGGCTCATTTACTTGGCAGGTTGTAAAAATGGAGAGTCATGTTCTTAACCTTTTGGACTTCCAACTTTCTACTCCCACAACCAAGAAATTCCTTAGGTACTAAATTTAGCTTATTTACTTCTTTGATATTTGTCCTTAGCAAACACTGTTTACTTGGTTCACTGGGTCTCACCATATATTTTTGTAAAAAATTCTGATTCATAGGAGGTTCGTTCAAGCAGCACAGACTTCTTATCAGGTAGTAAATTATAAAGGAGTGACTCATTTAGTGCGCATTTATATTCTCAATGATGTGTTGATATAGAACCTTAATGAGAACTGTTCTAAAATGCAGGTTCCTTCTGTTGAATTGGAATTCATGGCAAATTATTTGGCAGAGTTGACTCTTGTTGACTATAGTTTCCTTAAGCTTCTCCCTTCTCTTATTGCTGCTTCTGCTGTATTTCTTGCAAGGTGGACTCTTGATCAGTCCAAACACCCATGGGTATGCATATTTCCACCTTACTACATATTTCTAAGGGTTGTCTTTTAAAGGCGTAATAAAATGCAATGTAGCAAATGTATGTGTAATGCAATCAGTTGTTCCACTTTCTTGTTCAAGGATGTAATCAAATACTTGTTTCATTTTCCCTTTTTGGAAAATAAGAAGCTTGATAACTGGCTTGAGTTTCTTATGTTTTTTATCCTTTCATCATTTTTTATTTTACATATATTCTTTTATCCTTTTCATCGTGTCTTTTATCATACTTTATCATTTTTATCTTTCTTTTCCTTCTGACTCTGATATCCTTCTTTCTTTATCTATTTGTGTTAGACGAACGCAAAATCTTTCGGGACTAAGGTTTGGATGTTGTTGTATACAATACCCCTATCATCCCATGGTTTAAAATTTGTGCAACATCAGAACAAAAAACAAAAATGCAAAAATGCAGGAGTGTTTGATTTCATTATAGTGTGTGCTATTATGGTCTTGGAAACTATACCTTAAATCATTGATTCATATTTGAGAAATGGCTTTCTCTTGCAGAACCCTACCCTTGAGCATTACACCAGGTACAAGGCATTAGAGCTGAAAACTACAGTTTCAGCTTTGCAAGACTTACAACAAAACACCAAGGGGTCTTCCCTTAATGCCATACATGAAAAGTATAAACTGCCTCAGGTAACTTATTATAAAGTATAAACCGGTGACCTTTGGTACACGGGTACAAATTTGGTAGAAAGTACACGTATACTTCATCTTTGGTACAAATTTTTGAACAAGATTGCTGAGATCATAGGATACATATCAAAATAATTTGCTTCTTATGATCTATCAAAGACATCAATGCTCCGCCTTCTGTCTCAGACTCCTTTGTCCGTAAAAAGAGCCATGTTTGATCAATAAAGTTAGTTTCTCCTGTAATTTGCTGAAGGAAAGTCATAAAAAGGTTATATATGTTAAATCAAATTAAACCAAAATAAGTCTAAAGAATGCACCCCTATCAATCCCCAAATTTATTTTTGGCTTGCTGTTATATTTCACATGCTTGTTGCGTTAATGGAATCATGTGGTTGAAACATTTAGGAAAGGAAAAAAATAACGTCAACACACAATTTCTTTCTTAAACGAATGTAAAGATAATTTGGGGAAGAAGTATCACTATAAGTTTGCTTAATGATTTATACTGGGTCTAATGTACCAAAATATAAAAGAATGCACATCTGTGAAAGAAAATTGGCTCATTTTTTGGGAGTAGTGCATCCTTATGGATCTTATAATACGCACCATATCATATTATTGCAGATGATCTTATCAGTTTCATAAAATGGAATTCTAACACTCATAATTAACTTGTACCCAATGTCTATCTTATTAATACTATTTCTTAAACTTTTTACAGTTCAAATGTGTTGCAACTATAACATCACCGAAAGCAGATGAATCTCTGTTCTAGAAGCATCAGACTCACCCTGCTGCTGCTGCTACTATTGTCTATTACTATAAGTTGTCCTTCATATACCCCCCCTAAATGTCAGATAAGAGCTCTCATTCATTTGTTCATTCCCCTCCATCCTCAAATGGCTGATGGTATCTGTTAGATCAAATTTTGGTACAAATGTTACGCTTTCCGTAACGTGGGATTTTCAGATACAATTATTCAAAAGCACGATGGTGTTATTAGTCTGTATTTAGGAAAGCGTTGTAGTTAAGAAGAAAGCAAAAGCAGCCGATGCATAGTTTAGTTGCTGCCTTGAAGGAGCTATCTAAGCTCCTTGTGTACAAACGGTTTCAAATCTTGTGCTATTTATGATCTCTTTTCAATATACTTGATCCATTATTTCTATGCGAAATTGATCTCAATGATCCATACTTTACGCATTTTATCAACAATAATGACAATCCTAGTTACCGTATGGATAATTGGGGTGGACTTGGTTCTGGAATTGATGGGGTCGTGCTTAGAAGTTAGACCTAGAACTCTGGGAGTTTCTTACATTTTTTTTACATAATATTAGAGGAACCTATATAAAAACTTATATAGTGGAATATGTTCATTTCCCATGTAAAGGATTCAAGAACCATTATGAAACAGGACAAAAACTAAAGATTTGGTTCTTGTTTTTTTTTTTTTTGGCAAATGGTTCTTGCTTTTATTATCGATAAAAACAAATGGTTCTTACTTTTATTCGGTTCTTAAGTTCGAACTAAACTTGGCTCAAAACCCTTCTTTTATTTGGAAGACTATCCTAGAAGCTGAAGGTATATCATAGCCTCATAGGTGGAGGGTGGGCAGTGGAGAACAGATAATGTGGGGGAAGATCCATGGCCGCTTCCTAGTTTGGAGTAGGGGTGGACTGGGACTTGGATGCATCAGGCCTCGGGCTAAGCCCGGGCGGGTTGCGGGTCAAATATTATCATGCTCGGTACCGGCCCCATTTGTACCGGTACCGGGTATGGTCCGGGCTACCCAGCCGGGTCGGGTCAGGTTGGGCTTGTTTTATTTTTTGTTAATTTTTTTGGAAAAAATAGTTAAAATAACCCAAACTTTGAAGGGATGTGAAGTAAACACCCCAAATTTTATATAAAAATTATTTAAGCATCATGGTCATGTTCATTTTCTATCAAACATGAAAATGAAAGCGTTGCAACTAAAAAAATGAAGGAAATATAAAAAATAAAGAAATATTGATGCTAGTAATCCAACCTTTATCCGATAAGCCGTAAATGGTCCCAAATTCCCAATTATTGATAATCCAAAAAAAAAGAAATTTGTATCCTCTTTTCTTTCTATGGTCCCAGTTTAATATTACTGGTTGTTAACGTTATTAATAAAGTATAATACCGGTTAAGGTTCTAAATAATACCCACACATTGCCTTCCTTCGCACTTCCTCTCTCTATGCTTTGACGACTTCGCCTAATTTCTTCCTTCCTCATTTCAAATTCTGGTTAATCAATGTCCACCCAAAGCATTCATTCAGACGGTGGTGAGTTTTGCTCGACGAAATCAAGCAAAGGAGTAAATCCAGGAGTGAAGTGTCATCACAACATCAATTCTATTTTGAGAGTTGTTAAAAATCGGATTAACGTTGAAGGGATGTTTCATGGCTGCTTGTTATGGCCGGTAAATTTGTTAATTTTTAATATTTTGTTATTAGAAACATGCTAGAAGCAACTAGGGTTAATAGTCAGTCATGAATAACCAAACGGGAAAAATCATAACTGTTTTCTTAACATCAGGAGCTAGAAGAACCTGGTGGTCATGCTAGATGGGTAACCACAACTGTTTAAAGTCTAGGAAGAGGAGGAGAGTCTAATAGGAAAATTAACAGGGAAACTCTGAACTAGTCATTTAAATGACAAAGTAATAGCTATAGGTACAACTCTTACATCTCTCGGCAAAACTCTGTTGTCAATTCCGTCATTCTTCCATCTTCCCGTTATGAAACTTTCTAATTTTGGTAAAAGAAATCACGTAAAAGTGTTAGAGATAAAATATACTCTGTAGACAAGTAGTATGAACTTTGGTAAAAGAAAGTATACTATGTTAGCCGGCAACAAGTCGCATGGATCGTTGAACGAAGAATGGATACAAAGGTTGATTTTTTAGGATTATTAGTAATTGGGATCGCTTTGGGATGACCGGGTAAAGTCAGATTATTAGTGTCAAATTTTTTAATAAACAATAATAGAGATCACTTTTTTTCAAAACAAATAATGTTAAGTAGTTCTCACATAAAAAAGAACAGATAATCACATAAATCACACCCACAATTCCAGTCTCCCACAAAGTTCAGAAACTCAAATGGTGAGTAGTGTCAATTTTGACTATATGGGGAGTTCAAGAAGTCTAAGGCTCAAAGCTTCAAACTTAGATCTTATACACGGCGTCGAGTAGCCCCCTCCCTACTTGATCAATTCGTATATTTTGGTGCCAATTCGTATATTTTGGTGCCGGAGTATCATGGAATACCGTGCCCCAAGTATCATATATTCATATCGACACAACCTAGCATAAGATTCTAGTGAAATTCCATGGAATTGGAAATCCTCCCTCCCACACCTTGATTTTGTCCGCTTGATTTGTCGATGCAAGCACGAAGCCTGTGATATAGTTCAGGAATTTTCAAGTAATCTAGAAGAGAGTTCGAGACTATACAAGACTGTAAATGGCATAATATAGAGAAATATAAAAGAGATGCAAGAAGAATGATTTGTTCACAGTATGCTTTGCAGAATTAGCTCAATCGCTATATATACAGTATTAGCTACTCGATGATATAGTTCAACTAACTAACAGACTTTAACGGCTTCATATTGACTTTTAAAAGACTGAACTATATCAATACTTCCCCCATCACTATGGACTTGTCCTCAAGTCACTTGAGCATAAAAAACTGGAAATCTTTCTTTCACCCAATGAGCCCACTCCCAAATAGCATCTGTCACTTCCTGACCCTTCCACTGAATAAGGAATTTGACCTTAGCCTGATTCTGATCTTTCACCATCTCCCTTGCTATAACTGCCATTGGTTCCAGTTTGTTCTCCATGTTCATATTATGCATCCAATTAGGAATATGGGGCTTAACATGAAATGTGTTATGAATCTTGGCTTCAACTGGTAGATTCAATATATATGCCACCTTCCCTATAGGTTGGTTGATCTGAAATGGGCCATAAAACTTAGGATATAACTTTTCATTCCCTCTTTGCTCAATTGTAGTTTGTCTGTAGGACTGCAACTTGAGCCACACCTAATCTCCACTTTGAAATTGTCTTTCTGACCTCTTCTTATCAGCCTGCATCTTCATTCTGTGTTGAGCTCGTTGTAACTGTAGCTTCAATAGTTGAATCATAGTCTCTCTTTGCTGCATTGATCTATCCACTGTAGCCACTTTAGTCTCCCCAGGTAGATAAGGGAGATGTAAAGGGGGTGGTTGATTATATACTGCCTCATAAGGAGTCATACGAATGGCAGAATGAAAAGTGGTATTATACCCCCATTCTGCTAAGGGCAGTCACTTACACCAATCTTGAGGCTTCTCACAGCACATACACCTCAAGTAATTTTCTAAGCATCTATTAACCACTTCTGTCTGACCATCTGTCTGGGGATGGAAGAAGTAGATAGCAGAAGATCCACCCCTTGAACACTGAACAACGCCTTCCAAAAATTACTTAGGAAAATGGAACCTCTATCACTCACAATAGTACTTGGCCACCCATGCAGTTTAAAGACATGATCAAGATAACTTTGAGCTACCTCAATTGCTGAAAAGGGATGCTTTAATGCTATAAAGTGTGCATACTTGCTCAATCTATCCACCACTACAAAAATCACATTTTTCCCACATGAGGTAGGCAGTCCCTCAATAAAATCCATAAATACATCCACCAAAACTTCTTTAGGAATAGGTAGTGGCTGCAGTTTCCCTGGATATGCAGAGTTGTCATACTTACAAGACTGGCAAATCTGACAAGTTCTAATGAAGTATTGCATATCCTTATTTAGGCCCTTCCAATGAAACCATTGCCTGATTCTTTGTATTGAAGCATCTCTTCCTGAATGTCCTCCAGTAGCAGAACTATGTGCCCATTGTAACAGTTTATTTCTGATTATAGGGTCTTGCCCTATGATAATTTTGCCTTTCTTTCTCAACACCCCTTCATTAAATGTATATACTTGATCACCATTTAGAGTGTTGTGCTGCACTTGGTTGATAATCTGTTGCAAGTTAGCATCTCCTCCATAACTTTGCTTTATCATATCTATCATATCTGTTTGGATGGATGAAATAGTTATGCACAATAATTCAGCCCCAGTCACTCTAGATAGTGCATCCGCTACTTTATTTTCCACCCCGCTCTTGTATTGGATTTCATATCTAAAACCCATCAATTTAGATAACCAAAACTGTTGGAAGGGTGTTGAAATCTTCTGCTCCAATAACCATTTCAGACTCTTTTGGTCAGTCTTAATAATAAAAGTCTGACCAAAGAGATACTGCTCCCATTTCTGCACAGCAAAAACTAATGCCAACAACTCTTTCTCATAAACTGATAGATTCTGCCATCTAGTTCCCAATGATCTGCATCACAACAGCTCCTATACCCTTATTTGATGCATCAGTTTCAATGACAAATTGTTTGTCAAAATTAGGTAATGCTAAAACTGGTGCAGTACTCAAGGCCTGTTTCAGATCTTCAAATGCCACAGTAGCCTCATCAGACCATTGAAAAGCCCCTTTCTTTAGCAGATCAGTCATAGTTTTTACTAATATAGCATAGATTCTGATAAACTTCTTGTAGTACCCCGCTAAGCCTAAAAAACTTCTGAGTTGCTTTAAGGAAGTTGGAATGGGCCACCTGGTTATTGTCTCAATCTTCCTATAATCTGTTTCAAGCCCATTTCCTGATATAAAATGCCCTAGGTATTCAACCTTTTCCATACCAAAATTACATTTGCTTCTCTTAGCAAATAACTGATGTTGCTTCAAGACTTCAAACACCTGCTGCAAATGTAATGATAAGTCCGTATTTAGACACGTATTTGATGCGTGTTGAGATCGGATTTTGATGGTTTTCCTAGCTTTAAGGTGTTACAAGTCTCAATTTTAGCTCAAGTTATGTTTACCGGGCGTTGGTTCGAGTTTTGTGTTGTTTGGAGTCAAAATCAGGAATTTAGAGTTCGGCACTGGCGCTTGAGGAGAAATCGGGATGATTCAAGATGCATTCGAGAGTGGATTGAGAGCTTTGGAGGTCACCTGGAGGTTCACGATGAAGATTTGATGACAAAAGAGCTCTAGGATTGGCTACGGGGTCAAAAGAAGATGAATGAAGCTTGAAAACGACGATCAGGATGACCTT